GCACGCGAATGCCCTAACGAGCGGGAGGGGCCGGGCGGGCGGACCCTAACGGGCGGGAGGGTCGGGTCGGGGCGGGCGGGACATGGTAGTATGATGCATCTATCGTGTTGGCACTCGAATGTAGTTTACCCCAACGGGCGGGACGGGCCCCGGGCGAGCGGGCGGACCTAAACGGGGGACGGGTCGGGTTTGGGCGGGCCGACCTAAACGGTCCCGGCAGGTCGGGTCGGGCGGGACGGGACATATAAATAATGCATGCGTCATCGTCTCGGCAAACGCGAATGCCCTAACGAGCGGGAGGGCCGGGCGGGCGGACCCTAACGGGCGGGACGGGGTCGGGTTCGGCGGGCGGGACATGAAAGTATGATGCATCATCGAGTTGGCACTCGAGTTACCCCAACGGGCGGGACGGGCCGGGCGAGCGGGCGGAACCTAACGGGCGGGACGGGTCGGTTTGGGCGGGCGGACCCTAACGGCCAGGCCAGGTCGGGTCGGGCGGGCGGGACATATAAATATGATGCGTCATCGAACTGGCACGCGAATGCCCTAACGAGCGGGAGGGGCCGGGCGGGCGGACCCTAACGGGCGGGACGGGTCGGGTCGGGCGGGCGGGACATGGACGGGTCGGTTTGGGCGGGCGGACCCTAACGGCCAGGCCAGGTCGGGTCGGGCGGGCGGGACATATAAATATGATGCGTCATCGAACTGGCACGCGAATGCCCTAACGAGCGGGAGGGGCCGGGCGGGCGGACCCTAACGGGCGGAACGGGTCGGGTCGGGCGGGCGGACCCTGACGGGCGGGTCGGGTCGGGTCGGGCGGGCGGGACATGAAAATATGATGCATGAGCGAGTTGGCACGCGAGTTACCGTAACGGGCGGGACGGGCCGGGCGGGCGAGCGGGTGCTGGAGCACCCAGATCGAGTGCCCGGCCAGGAGAGCTGGGAGTACCCAGAGTGCCTGGTGCGTCTGGAGCGCCAGTGGACCGGTCTGGTCCTATGGAACTGGTCCTGCAGAATCTGGCCTGTGGAACCGGTCCTGCGGAACCGGGCCCGTGGAACCAATTCTGTGGAACCGGTCGTGCGGAACTGTTCCTGTGGAGCCGGTTCCGCGGAACCAATTCTGCGGAACCGGTCCTGTTAAACCGGTCGTCTGTTGAACCGGTCCCTGTTGAACCGCTCGTCTGCTGAACTGGTCTTCTGCCCTCAGGAGGGTCCAAGAGGGCCATGAGCCGCCGAAAGGTCGATTCAAAACGTTCACGCTGGCCTCCAGAAAGCCCAATAGTACCCCAAGACGCCCCAAAAACTCCCCAAGATGCGTCCCAAGACGGGCTCAAAGAGCAAAAATCGCCACCCCTTCGGAAAACGTGTGTTTGTTGCATATTCGCCTCTTCTGCGCTAACAACGTCCAAGGCGGACCAAATAGCCTTCCAGATCGCCCCGTGAAGGCCCAAGAGGCCCCCAAGAGGGCTCCCAGACGAGCCAAGAGGGCCCCAAGACCGCTCGAGAAGCCCCAAAGACGGCACAAAGGGTCCCCAGGACAGCTCCAAAGGAGGGCCCCGAGGGGAAACCTGAATGAACATCTCGAACTTTCGACCCCAAAACGCCCTCTGGTTGCCCCAAAAAGCCCCCAACAGGCCCCCACGGAGTTCTGCGAGGCCCCCCAAAAAAACCCGGAGGCCCCCAGGAGGTTCAAAAACTGCCTCCCAGACGCCCCCGGGACGCCTCTCACGAGACCCCATCTGCCATCCGAGCGGCCTCAGACCCGCAGCCCAAGAACTGTGGCGGGGCGTGCCGAAGGCCATTCGGTAAACACATATGCCCGCCGATTGTAAACGTAGGTTCTCGCCCGTTCCCCTATGTTTGCACGGCGAACGCTGAACACATTAGCCGTCAAAGTCACTTACTGCTGGTGCGGGCGGTGCGCGCTTGCTGGGCCCCAAGGGAATTTGTAGCGCGCGCACGGTAGGCTGCCCAAGAGGGCCCCGACACGCCCCACATCTCGCTCCAAGACGCCCATGAATGACGGTTGCAAGACGTATTTTGACAGATGCCCGCCATCTGTAAACGTGGGTTTTCGCCTGCTTCCCCATGCGCGCACGGCGAACAATGAAAAACGAGGTCCCAAGAGGACTTCAAAGGCTCGAGAGGTTCCCCTCGACAGCATCGTGGACAGCCCTCGCCAACCAATTCCCAAATCTCTGAACACACCCTTCCACCATAAGGGGTTTCAACAAGCCCTAACTCCAAGACGCGAACAAAGGCGCCAAAACGTGTTTTGACAGATGCCCGCCGTCTGTCTCGCCCGTCTTCCCATATGCGCACGGAGCACAATGATAATGTTAGCCGCAGAAATCACCACCATTGGCGGCGCGAGCGGTGCCGCGACTGCCAGGGGGCCCGGGGGAATCTTTCGCGCGCGCGGTAGTCTGTCCAAGAGGGCCCCGACACGCCCCACATCTCGATCCAAAGCGCTCACGATGGCTCCAAAACGTTTTTTGACAGATGCCCGCAGTCTGTAAAGGTTGGTTCTCGCCAAGACGGCTCACTGCCCAAGAGGGCTCGACACGCCCCACAACTTGCTCCAAGACCCCCACGACGGCCCCAGACACCCCGAAAATACTCGACGTGAGCCCCACACAGCTTCCCAAAAAGCGTCCAGGGGACAACTTCGTCAATGTCACACGGGTTTACAGCGCGCTTCGGGTTCCCACCTTTTCTGCCATCAGACGCCTCGTGCAGCCCAGGGCGGTCCCACGACCGCGCCACGACGGTCCCACAGGCCACCAAAAAGGCCCCGAACCATTGCACGAGGCTTCGAATACGAGCTGGTGCCGGCGGTGCCGCGCTTGCCCAGGGCCCCGGGGGTATCCTTCGCGAACACGCGGTAGACTGCCCAAGATGGCCCCGACACGCCCCACATCTCGATCCAAAACGCCCACGATGGCTCCAGAACGTCTTTTGACATATGCCCGCCGTCTGTAAAGGTCGGTTCTCGCCCGTTTCCCGGTGCGCGCACGGCGAACGCTGAGAATGTCAGCCGCAGAAGACTGACGGTGCGGGCGGAGCTGCGACTGCCGGCGGCCCGCGGTACACTGTCCAAAGGGCGCGGACACGCCCCACATCTCGCTCCAAGACACCCACGACGGCTCCAAAACGGCCCCATAAGCCCCGAAAACACTTGATGAGAGCCCCACAAAGCTTCCCAAGTGGGCTTCCAGGGGCCAACTCCGTCAATTTCCCACGGGTTGAGAAAGTACACTTTGCGGCATAATCTGGCTCATCTTCGGGCTTCCCGCCATCACTGTACATTTTTATTTTAAACGACGGCGCGGGGCACCATATTACCCTGCGACTGCAATGTGCACGTGGCTGCAAAATCCGCCGACCTCTTAGGGTTCATCAGAGTGTGAGATGCTTCCTCCTCCCCCAACCCGTCCCCTCGTAGCCCAGTCCGATCGATTTGGAGGGAGGGAGGTCCGCCTGGCTCCCCCAGGCCCTGCCCGAACGCATCATGGGAAGATAGAGGGCCCCACAACGGGCCAAGAGGGCCCTAAGAGGCCCTCAAGACGGTCCAAGAGGGCCCCGAGTCGCCGAAAAATCCTTCAGGACGGCCACGATGGTCCCCAGACGGCCCAAGACGCCGCCAAAACGCCCCAGGAGGCCTCCAAGAGCTCTCCCACGAGGGCCCCAAGAGGCAACGTTTACAGATTTACAATTCGTTTTGAAAGATGTTAGCGTCCTCACCTTCTCGATTTCCCGACTCTTCACGGCGGCGCAAGAGGCTCCCAAGATCCGCCCAGACGGCCCCAGAGGCCTCCAAGAGGGCCCCTAAACGGGCAAAGAGGGCCTTAGAGGCCTGCCACATGGCCGAAAAGAGCCCCTAGACAGCCGCAAGAAGAGCTCCGAAGTGGAACCCGAGCCCACATTTCGAGCCCTCGGCTCCCCAAGGCCCCGAAGAAGCCTCCACGAAGCTCCAAGAGGACCCCCAGAGGCCCCCATGAAGCGCACAGAAGAGCATCAAGAAGCCCCCGAAAGGCGCCCAGAAGACTCTCAGGAGCAACACGCTACAACCGCCAGTCACCCAAGGGGTCGGCGGTGCGGCGTAAGCCCAAGAATCAAGGAAACTCGCCTCCAAAGTAGGCAAGATGGCCATCAAATTGGCCCAAAACGGTCCAAGACGGCCTGAACGACGGACCAACAGGGTCAAGAAGCCTCCAAGTTCGCAAGAAGCCTACAAGTTCGCCCAAGATGTCTCAAAAACGACCCGATATGGCCCCAAGACTGCCCAGGACGGCCTCAAGGCGACCCGAGAGGCCTCCAATAAGCCCTCCAGCATGGCCCGAAAAAAATGTATGCCCCTTGGTTTTGTTCAATAGCTTTCGCCGTCTAGCCTCTTCGCGGGCTTCCGACATCCAGAGACTGCCGCAGGGGCCTCCGAGATAGCCCCCCATACTGCCCAAGAAGCCCCCCACGAGAGCCTCAAGACGGACCGAGAGGCCCCCACGACGGCCCACGAGGGCCCCTTAAACGCCCCAAGGAACCTCGAAGACGGCCCTACAGCGCCCCAAGAGGCCCTCAGAGGCCCTCAGAGGAGTCCCCGAGATGGCCTCCGAAAGCGTCCGTCGGGTCAAAAGAGCTCGAAGACCGCAAGATGCCCCCAGGCGCCCAGCCCCCCAAGGCGCCCAAGGTGCCCCCAAGAGGCCCCCGAGAGGCTCTCAGGAGGAGACCCCCAAGAGGCCCCAAGAGGACTCCTCCTCCTCCTCCTCCCCGTCCTCCTCCTCCTCCTCCTCCTCCTCCTCCTCCTCCTCCTCATCTTCCCCGTCCTCCTCCTCCTCCTCCTCCTCCTCCTTCTCCTCCTCCTTCTCCTCCTCCTCCTCCTCATCCTCATCCTCATCCTCATCCTCATCCCCATCCTCATCCTCCTCCTTCTCCTGTCTTTCTCTCCCGAGCGTTCCCACAAGGATTTCCACAACGGCTAGGGGAGCATACACACTCTGATCTCTTGACCAGGCTTTGGCCCAACGTTTGGGCACACAGACGCGTCGATCAGGAAGGTTGAGGCGATGGCTCGCCGTAGGCGTCTTCGATACAGAAAGCACCCAACCATCAGCAAAGAAATCCCGACTCCTACCAGAAGCAGCGTAAAATCGGCACTGCAGCATCCAGTGATATAAGACCCGCCCACTGTCTGGGGAGGGATGAAGCACATGGCCTCGTACTGGCTCCGGCAGCTCTGAAACCACGCGCTGTAGAAGTTGGCTCGGGAGGAGTTCAGCGGCCCCTCGCCGCTCCAGGCCTCGCCAATCCTCCCCGCGTTGCCCCAGTAGTATGCACCATACGCCAGGTCGTGCCAAAAATACCTGTGCCCGCCGGGGCAACAAGCAGGTTGCTCGTGCGGGCTACCGTCGTCCAGACTGAGGTTAAAAACTGCCGTCAGCGGCACGAAGTTGCAGTCGCCGCAGGTGTCGTCGAGTCGATGCACACCAACGTCAGGAGTCCCAGGATGGTCGCTAATCTCCAAAGTGGATCTATTCTTGACCTTAAGCATATTATTCGCTTGCCAACGAGACATGGTATAGTTGGCACATGTGTACCAAGAATCAAACTTGATCACATTGACCCCACCGCGAAGTTCCATCTTATCCAAACCAGTCAGGAAAGAAAAGTTACCTAAGTCAAAATCGAGGGACCACCCCTGTGGAACTTCCGGCGGTGGCTTGAGTTTCTGTCCCATCTGGCCTAGGGCGACTTGAGCAATCTGCCCAACCTCTCCGTAATTCACCATTTGCGAAAACAGAATGGTTGTCATCACAGCTTTCCTCAGCACCATCAGAGCGAGGACCCTCTTCATCATAGAGTCGAAGCCACGGACGAAATGCTTTAGGGACCTCTGCCAAGACTTACCCCCAGACAGCGAACCTTCTCGGAAAAGCGACAGCGCCTCGGAAATATGAATGCCAATCATAGAGAGCACCACGATGCCCACAACCACGTATAAACTGCGCTCCTCGTCGATCGAAACATCTAAAGGCAAGAACGGCCACGAGGCTGGACTGACGAACGCATCGTCACAGTCGGCGTCGCTGCACGAAAACGGAGGCGAGCAGATTTGAGCTCGCAAGGCACCGCTATAGAATACATGGAAATAGGATGCCACGGGCAACGTCAACAAAGCCCCAAACAACAATGGGTACACGGCAACAATGAAGAAGCAAAACATGAAGAAAACGGAGATTGCTAATACCCGTTGCACCCATATACACTGGAGGTTGGTAAAGCACTTGCAAGGCCTTAGCGGGTAGTTAGCATTGATCTCAAACTGAATAATGGTTCTCCGGATTGCCTCAATGTCCGCTGGTCCCCTTAGGGCCGCAAGGTTGCCGAGTATCTATATGACTGCTTTCTTGTGGCTTCCCTAAGCAGTGCTTGCACGTAGGATATCTGAGCTTATCTTGATAAACAAGTGGTACACGTGCCATGGATGTTGCGCAGAATGGAGGTGGAGAAGGAGGAGGTGGATGAGTTCTTCCGAGATGGCCTCCAAGATGGCCCAAAAGAGCTCAAGGCATTTGAAGGTGGCCCCCATCATGCTTCCAAGAGGCCCCAAAAGGGCCACAAGACGGCGCCAAGCGCTTTCGGAGCACTTTCTAGACCGCCCCCAAGAAGCCCAACTCCTTCAAAACTCTAGAATGTAAAAAATACGCTGCTTGTCAGTTTTCGTTTTCGGGTCGGATGGGGGGCGGCGAGGGAGTAGGAGTGCTGGGCTGGCTGGGGGTAGGGGGGGGCGCGGTGCCGGTACCGTGCGTGAGTATTGAAAGAAAATGGTCAGGTCGGTGGGGGCGCGCTGATTGGGGGGAGAGGGCGAGCTCGGCTGGCTGAGCGAGGGTGGGCGCGGTGCCCGCGCCGCGCGTACGTGCCGACATGAAACGGTCGTGGCGCACGGTGCGCGCCGGATGGGGAGCGGAACTCCTTAGACACCCTGCGCAAAGCCTCCAAGCTGGGCCGGCTGGGGGTGAGGGCGGTGCTGGTGCCGCGCGCGCGTGCCGAGATAAGATGGTCGGGGCGCGGGGGGCGCATTGGCTTGGGGGGGGGCCAGGCTGGCTGGGGGGAAGGAGGGGCACGGTACTGGTGCCGTGCGCGCATGCCGAAATAATGGTCGGGGCGCGAGGGGAGCGACTGCTGGGGAGCGGGGGAGAACTGGGCTGGCGGGAAGGGGGGGCGGCGCGGCGCTGGCGCCGCGCCTGCGTGCCAAAAAAAACATGGTCATAGCGGAGGGCGCGCGCTGGATGGGGGGGCAGTGCTCTGGACACAATGCAAAACCTCCAGGCTGGGTTGGCTGTGGCTGGGAGGCGGTGCCAATGCCGCGCATGCGCGTCAAAATAAAACGGTCGGGGCGGAGCGGGCGCGTTGGCTGGGAGGAGGAGCCGGTCTGGCTCGAGGGGGGGGGGCGGGCGCGGTGCCGGTGCCGCGCGCGCGCCGAGATAAAATGGTCGGGGCGGAGGGGGCGCGCCAGCTGGGGGGCGAAGGAGAGCTGGGCCGGCTGGGGGGGAGGGGGGGTGGCGCGGTGCTCACGCCGCGCGCGCCGGCCGAAAGTGGTCGGGGCGGAGGGGGCTCGCTGGCACGAAAGGACAAAGGCTGGGCTGGCTGGGGAGGCTGGTGGGCGGCGCCAGCGCCGTGATTGAGCGCCGAAACAAAGTGTCGGGGCGGAAGGGGCTCGCTGGCTGGAGGGGAAGGGGGAACTGGGCTGGCTGGGCGCCGGCGCCGCGCATGCCGAAATAGGAAAATCGGGGCGGAGGGGGTGCACTGCCTGGGGGGTGATGGGGAGCAGCGCTGGCTGGGGCGCGCGCGTGCCGAAGTAAAGTGGGCGGGGCGGAGGGGGCGCGCGCTGGCTGGGTGGCGAAGGGAGGCCGGGCTGGCTGGGTGCTTCTTTCTGTGCCACAGGGGGCTGCAGATCGAAGCGTGCACAGCGCGTCCCGGCAGGGCTCTGCCGGAAACCGCAAGTGAAGATCAGCATCGATGATCCTCGACACCCCCTTCGCGACCGCGGGGAGCTCTCGCCAGCGGGCGCGACCGAAGATCCGTCCTGCACTTGCACTTGCAGGCGGGCTGGCGGGCACACGCGGGACCTCCGCGCGTCGGCCCAAGCCCCACTCACTCCGCGTCTAGCCAGTCACAGCCTCGCGCCAGGAGGGCGAGCCGAAGGGCCCACCGCGCAGGCCCAGCTCCCAGCCGCGCCCACCAGCTTCTCCTTCGGCGGGGCCTTGGTGAGGAGGTCGGCAGGGTTGACCACGGTCGACACCTTGTCCATCCGAAGCTTCCCCTCCTTAGCCCAGTCCTGGACCGCTAACATCTTCAGATCGATGCGCTTCATCCGCCCTGGCCCCCGCTACTCGGCAACAGCGAGCGCCGAGGGCGAGTCCGTCACGCGCGCGGGCGCGGCCATGCCATAGCCCCACTCCTTCAGCAACGCGTCGGCACCCAGCGCCTCGACCACGCCTGAGCCGATGGCGTAGAGCTCGGCCCCCGCCCCGCACGCCGCCGGGGCCGAGCCCGCGCGAGCACCGAGCAGCCGCGCATCATGACCGCGCCGCCCGAGATGCTAATTCTGGTGTCTGGTTCGTCGGCCCAGCCGCAATCAGCGCACGTCTTCAGGAGAGTCCGACCCGCCTCGTGGCACCAGCAGCTGGCAGACCTCGCGCGCGCCCAGCAGGTACCGGACCAACTTCCTGGGCCTCCTCCAGACCTTCATCGCGGGCGCCTTCATCTGCTTGCTCAGCTTATTGACAGTGCGCTGGATGTCGGGCGGCCGGTGGCAGACGCACATCGCCTTGCCCACGCACGACCTGTAGATCACGGCGTCCTGGGTGCTGAGCTCCTCGTCGTCGTCCTGCTGCTTCTTGGCGTCGCTTGCCCCTGGCCCCTCCGCGGTCTTCGCGCCCCCCATGCCCAGCATCTCGGCCATGTCGGTGATCAGGGGCGGGTCGCCCTGCAACGCGAAACCGCCAGCTACCTTCCTGGCGTTGAGAGCCAGCAAGCGGCCCTCGCTGCCATCCTCGAAGAGCCTCACCACATTCTGCATGTTCAGCTTCTCTTTGGCACCCGCGAGGAACGAGTTCACGTGCTCCCTGGGCCCCGTGACAAGGAAGTCGTCGATGTGCCTCCTTGCCTTCTGGTCGCGGCCGCCCTCGATTCTGACGATGGTGCAGCTATCGTAACACGACTGCTCCATCTGCATCTCCCTGGTCTTGGTCAGCACCTTGCCGGAGCGAACGCCCCAAACTTTCGGGTTGCCCTTCAAACCCAGAAAAGCCGAGACCGCCTCCCAGACCATGTCGTGGGGCAGGCCAGCCTCAGGCGGAGGCTCGATGTAGACCTTCTCGCCAGTGCCGCCGGGGCCCAAAGGCGCCTGGTAGAGCGCGCCGCTGCACGTCGCCGATCGCGGCCACGTGGCCCTCCATCGCCGCGCCCACGAGCATCGTCTTCAAGTGCATCGCGGCGGGCGTCGCCGAGAAGAAGTCCCCATTGCCCTGCAACGTCTGCTCGAAACCCCTCGTGGTCCAGCGAGCCTTCAGAGCTCCATCGTCATGCTTGTTCTCCACCCAGCGCCCCGACAGAGGCCTCGACGTCGCCTCTGCTCTCGGCGCCACCTTCACGATCTCGCCGTCCTCCTTGGCCAGCTTCGCGACGTGCTTGAGCCACGCCTCGTAGAAGTTCGCTGGCCGCCCCTCCTCGCACACCTCGTGCAAACCCGCAACTCTCCTGCGCTAGCTCTCGGCGGTTCCGCGTCGCCTGCGCTTCCATCACGTTGCGCCGGCACTGCCCGGCCCCGCCAGGGCGCACTCCCGCCGGCGGCGGAGCAGCGCCGGCCGCGGGGGCCACGGGCGCTGCCGCCGCGGCCGCTAGCGCCGGCGCGGGCGGAGGCATCGGCATCATGCCCAGGCGCGCCCTCTTCGCCCTCTCGCGCGGCTCCAGGCCTGCGCCTACCACGTCCATCGGCACTGGGGCTGGCAACGCTGCCGCTGCGGCTGCTGCACCTGCTGCGGGCGCCAGCGGGGCCGCTGCGCCTGCGGCGCCTGCATCCGCCGCTGGCGCGGGCTCAGCGACCGCCGCCGCCTGGGGCGCCCTCCCCGGCGCCACTCCTGCCACGGGCTGCAGCGGGAGCGGGCCACTGATGATCGGCCCCGGTCGCCCCTCACCATCGGCGGCCTGCCCCCGCTCGTCGGCATCGCGAACCTGGGGCCCCACTTCATGGCCCCCAGCAGCGCGGTGCCCCAGCGCCTGTCCTCAATTCGGCGATGCAGCGCTCGGCTGCGCACCAAACCGTTCGGCGCGCCGATGAGGTGCTCGTCGGTCTTGGAGTCGCGCCCCAGCCATGCCGCCTCCAGCCAGGCCGACTCCAGCTTGTTCAGGAGAGCCCATGGGCGGCGGCAGGCCACCGCCTCGCATGGCATCAGGAATACCGCCATGCCCGAGTCCGCCCTCTTGCGGAAGCGCGCGCACTGCCAGGCCGCGTGACTCGGCAACCACGCGAGCAACTTCGACTCTGGCCTGATCCTGAGCCCCTAGTGCCTCTCGATCTGGAGCTTGTAGGCCTTCACCTGCCTACGGATCGTGGCCACCATGCGCTCAGCTCCCCCGTTGCTCTGGCGACTGTAACGCTTCGAGGTCTGCACGATGATCTCGCACGGCGGCGCCTCCATCCTTGCGATCCTCACCCTTGCCTGGCTGATGAAGGCTACTGCCGCTGGCTCGCCGCCGGACTGCAAGACGACCCCGTTGTAGCCCAGCTCCGAGAGGTAGGACGTGAACGACGCGATCGCATACACGCCCCCCTTACCATGGCTGAGCGCCGCTGATGCCCATGGCAAGCCCGAGGCCATGTCGACCGCCACCGCAAAGTCGAAGTTCGGCACCTCTTCCTCGCCCTGCGCAGGTATGTCGCCAGCCCCCGCGTAGTCGAACTGGATGACTGGCACTGGTTTCTTAGCGACGCTCTGGTGGCAGACGTCGATCCCTTTGGCCTGCACGCAGATCTCGCACCACGGCATCGGGAGTCGCGTAGCAAGTTGTACATATCGATATCCTCCCTGCTCGGCTGCTCGGGGCCCGGCAGTGTCCTTGCTGGGGCGATCCCCGCCTCGACGCGCTCGACCTCGGCCTCTGGCGCCTGGACCCGCGGCTGCAAGTCCCGCAACACCTCTTGGTCAGCTCGAGCTGAGACCACTGCGTGCTCCTGTCATCGAAGCGAAGCTCTCGGGCCTGGCCCCACGGAGCGCACTGCGCGCCCCGGCAGATCCCTACAGGAACCCGCTGGTGAAGATTAGGCTGGCCCCGCGCTCCCCGAGCTGCCTCCCTCCAGGGTCGGTGCCGTCACGCCGCCCTGCCCCATCGGTGTCGACCTCGCGCTGCACTGGTCCACCCAGCACTTCAACGCGCAGTGGTCCCGGACGCGATCCACCTGCGCCCCGCCAGCCAGCTCGCGGTTCAACGCCCCGTCGTGCTTGTCGAAATGGGCCCCCCTCGCCGCGTCCTTCGCGCAGAACTTGCCGACGGTGAGGATCGGGCCCTTCACGTCGCATACCTGGAACGTCGTCACGATGCTGCGGCCACCCTTCAGCCTCATCTTGACATACCTCTCGCCGTAGTGCTTGATGCGCTGCCCGTTCGCCGCCTCGAGGTTCGGGTCTTTGCTCTCCCTCAACGTGATCCACCCGAAATCGCTGGGGCTGCAGATGCGCTCGTCGGCGCAGTTCTCCACCAGCACTTCGATCGGGCACCAGGCCTCCTTCCGATCGGTGATCCTAGCCGCGTAAGTGTTGGCGCCAGCCCACTCCGTCACCGCGAAGATGTAGCTGGACCCGTACTGCTCGTCGATCGCGTAGGTGAGCTGGCGCACTCATGGCCCATCCGCCTGGCTAGCAGACGCGGAAGGGGCCAATGTCGATGCACCCGGGTAAATCGTGGCGTCGTCCTGGCCCAGCAGTTCGTTGACTTGCTCCGGTCCTGCCACACGTCGCTTGCCTTTCCTGTCCTTGGCGCTCGCCTTGTCCTTCGGGTTGCACCAGCAATCCTCCTGCAAGTGCCCCTTTCGACCGCAGGTCCAACATGATGCATCTCGCACCCAAGCCGCGCGTAGGTTGATGCCCTCGTCCTCTTTGGTTTTGCCCTTGCCCCGACCGTTCTTGGAACCCTTGTCCTTGCGCTTGTCCTTGCCTCTGCGTGTGGGGGCGTCTACTTCCATGGCAGTCGGGTCGCGTTGCTGGCCTTTGTCGTTGCGCCTGCTACGATGGGGTATCGGTACTCCCGCCACGTAGTCCGCATTGCTTTGAAGGAGCTCTTCATCATGGCGGAATCATTGAGGTTCTGGACCTGCAGGAGCATTTTCACCGTCGCGGGCGCCTTGTCCACATACAGTGCCTTCTTCATGGACACGTTGAAGACGTCGCTCGAGATGACCTCCCATTTACGAACCGTCTCCTTCCATTCGACTAGCTTGGTCTCGTACGAAATGAGGTCGGAGGGGAACTGCGGTCAACTCAGGATGCTCAACATCAGGCTCTGGATGCGGGGCGCGGTATTGGGCTCGTATCGCTTCAGACGGGCACTCCATGCCAAGGCCCCGTACTGCTGGAGGTTGCCGCGCAGCACCCCCAAGGCTGGCCCCTTGATCGTCATGACCAGCATGTGGACCATCTTCCTGGCTGCCTCGCGGCCTCCAGCTCCCAGCGTGCGCTCGAACGCGGCCATGGAGACGTCGGGCTCCCCAGTCGCCTCGGCTGCCTCCATCAGGGCCGCGATTTCATCCGCCTGCACCATCAGGTACGAGCGCATCACGACGGACCATTCGGTCCAGTCCTCCTCTCTGCCCGTGAAGCTCGGTGGCTTGGACAGCCGAAAGACATCCTCGTCATTCACGGCCATGTCGCTGCTCTTGCCATTCGCGTGCTGCACCGCGAGCTCGTCGGAGCCGCCTGGTGCAAGACGCGCCGCGCCGCAAGCCCGCTGGGGCCGCCTGGCGCGCGCCGATCCGAGCCCCGCCGCGCGCGAGGCTTGCCGCGGATCACGAGCAGCGCTCCGCTGCCATGATTCTTTCTGTGCCAACAGGGGATGCAGATCGAGTAGTGCACAGCGCGATCCAGCAGGGCTCTGCCGGAACCCGCTGGTGAAGATCCGTATCGACGATCCTCGACAGTGGGGGAGGAAAGCGGCGGTGCGGCGGTGCCAGTGCCGTGCGTGGGTGCGGAAACGCATGGCACGCGTGCCACAGTTCTTGCACATAGAGGAGGGGGGGGAGGAGGAGGAGGAGGAGGAGGAGGAGGCGGAGGAGGAGGAGGAGGAGGAGGAGGAGGAGAAGAAGGAGGAGGCAGAGGAGGAGGTGGAGGTGGAGGTGGTGGAGGTGCAGGAGGATGAGGACGAGGATGAGGATGAGGATGAGGATGAGGATGAGGATGAGGATGAGGATGAGGATGAGGATGAGAATGGGGATGAGGAGGAGGAGGAGGAGGAGGTTGAGGATGAGAATGGGGAGGAAGAGGAGGAGGAGGAGGAGGACGAGAGGAAGGGGAGAGGAAGAACGAGAAAAAGGAGGAGGAAGAGGGGGAGGACAATGAGGGGCTGATAGACGGGAAAGCACGTTGCGACGGAGATAAAGGAGGACACGGGAGACGGAGGACGAGGAGAGAGAATGGGGGAGGGATACCAAGAAGGAAAGTGTAGCGCCGAGAGCAGGGAACGGTGGAAGTAGACGAGGAGGGCAAAGAGGGGAAGGGAGCAGAAGGAGTCACGGAGGCGAAGACGGCGAACAAAGGTCTGCACGGCAGGAAGGACGATGATTCGGGACTGTCGGCCGAAGCAACTCGGGGCCACGGCAGAACCATGCAAGGGGGCTGCTTCGCTGGGCTGACGGTGCCGGAAAAAAAAATCGGGGCGCCGGGGGCGCGTTGGCTGGTGGGCGAGGAGGACCTGGGCTGGCTGTGGGGGAGGGGGGGAGGGGCGGGCGCGGTGCTGGTGCCGGTGCTGAAATGAATGGGTCGGGGCGCGCTGGCCAGTGGGCGGGGAGGAGCTGAGCTGGCTGTGGGGGGAGGCTAGGGCGCGGCGCCAGTGATGTGCCGAAATAAAACGGTCGGGCAGAGGAGCCGAGCTGGCTGATGGGCAAGGAGGAGCTTGGCTGGCTGTGGGGGGGAGGGAGGGCGCTGCGCCAGAGGCGAGACGAAGTAAAAGAGTCGGGGCGGAAAGAGCTCGTTGGCTGGCGGGCAAGGAAGAGCTGGGCTGGCCGTGGGGGCGCAAAGGAGGGCGCGGTGCGGGCGCCGTGCCGAGATATAGGGTCGGACGGGGGGGGCGCGCTGGCTGCACGGCCAGGAGTGCCCAAGAGGCCTAGTGAACGGCCCCAAGAGACCCCGAAGGGGACCTCAAGAGCCCCAAGAAGGCCGAAGACAGCCCACAAACGCCTCCAACTAAGTTGGCACAGGAGGGCCCCCAGACGCCCCGCGGAGGACAAACAACATTCAGCAACCATTGTGTGTTCCATGGTGCTTGCCTGTCCCGCGCTATGCATCGAAGGTGTCCCAAGATCGCTTCGGGAAGGTTCCCAGAGCCCCTGGCCATACGATCCCAAGGTTGCCCCAGAGGCCCCAAGATGCCGCCCGAATCGCCCAGATTTGACGAGCACGACCCCAAGATCGCCACAACATGCTCTCAAGATAGGCCCCAGAGGGCTCGATTCAGCAGCACAAAGATTGCCCAAGAGCGTCCGCGGGTGGCCTGGGGGGCCCCAGGCAGCCACAGGATGGCTCAGCCCGAAGGGCAGGCGGCAAGGGGCGCACCCCTCCAAATAACACCTGTTGACGTCGGCAACCGACACACCACTCCGGCCCCAGTCGTACTCCCGATAGTGGGGAGGCCAAAAGATGCCGGTACTGGAGAGAGAAAAACAGCATAAACATAAAAACTGTCGACGGTCCGCGCGGACTTCTTGGATCTGCGCTGGCCCCTCCCTGGCGCGCGGAGCTCGCCAGTTTTGCTACGTCGCAGACCTCTCCTGGAGTGCGTTTTGAGTTCTGACCAGACCTCCGAGGTGGACCCAGCCGTGGGGACGAGGGCCTCCCAGGAAGCCCCGAAAGGGCGAAAACGAGGCAAGAGCAGCGGGTGCAGGCATCCGAAGATATTTGCGAACACTCATGCCACAATCATCTTTCGATGCCCCCTACCCTCAATGATCAATGTTGGCGGTGGGTTGAACGAGTTGCACTTCGACCGCAATCTTCCCCGCGCGCACCAACTCTGAAGTTGGGGGAGATGGAGAGTGACCACTGCAGTCGGACCTAGGACAGAAAAGCATCCTTCAAGAACATGAGACCCTCCGCTGGCCCAGACTGCACACTCAAGGGTGCCCTCCCCGAGGATGCACAAGAACATCGAACAAACACGAAGAACGTTCGGGCACCCTCCCCGAACCGACCTCGATCTTTCACCTCGGTCCGACTATACCCATCGGTCGGCAGGAGTAGGTAGAAACACGAAATAGGAAGGCGTTGAAAGTAGATTGGGTGCCCGACCGCCCCCTAAAGAGGACGGACAAGGTGAAGCCACTCGATCATTGAAGCAGGAAGGTGCTTAAAGTAGATTGGAATCTGGGAACCCAAAAATACCTACTTTCAACGACCGATGGGTAATTGTTTCCCTCTACCGTATCGGCACCTCTGCCTCCCCCGAGCTAGAGAGCCACGAGGTGCGTGGCAAAGGCCGAGCTGGCGAACGCTCCGCCGGAGACGGCCGAGAGGTGGGCGACCTCAGGGAGGAGGAGCGAGAGGAGGCGCCGACGGACGTCCACGGAAAGACGGTCCTGTGCACGGCGGCTGGCCCAGAGCGGCTCACGAGCGCGAGGCTCGCGGAGGGCGACGACGACGACGACGACGGCGACGACGACGACGACGGTCACGACAACGACGACGGCAACGACGACGACGACGACGACGGCAACGACGACGACGACGGCGACGACGACGGCGACGAGGACGAAGACAACGACGACGACGACGACGACCTCCGGGAGGAGGCCCCCCTCGGCAAGACGCCACAGCATGCCGAGGCACATGTTGGCGGAGCGGATGCCGCCGCCGGAGAAGCACACCCCGAGGCCCCCAGGCCCGCGGAGAGCTCCAAGCCTGCCGAGGGCACCTTCGGCGACGACGACGACGACGACGACGACGACGACGACGACGACGACGACGACGACGGCGGCGGCGGCGGCGGCGGCGGCGGCGGCGGCGACAACGACGACGACGGCGACGGCGGCCATTGGGGACGCACTGACCCGGGTCGATCCAAGCCCCAGTCAGTCGGGCTCTGCAGGATCCTGCGAAATCCTGCAGGGTCCTGCAGGATCCCGCGCGCTAAAACCCGAGCCAATGCATTCCCCGAGCATCGTTTGACCGATGCATGTCCCCACGGGCGTGGCCAGGGCCCCACTGGCCGATTTTCATCCCCACAGATGGGGATGTATAGGCTCTTCCCTTCAAGATTCAAGGGGCATGTCCCCAACTGGGGTGGTGGGATGATGGAGATCGAGATGAGGATGGAGATGGGGACAGGGATCGACAAGTGGCACGCGTGCCCTGGCTCCTGCACAAAGGAGCTGCGAGGGACAGCAGGCTTTCGCCTCCGTCATCCAGGAGTTTGCTTCTGTGGCCGGGGGGGAGGACGAACGACGAACGAACGAACGACGACGACGAAAATAAACAGGTCCGAGCTCTGGAACACAGCTGTGCAAGAAAATTTAAAAAGATCTTGATCCCAGGCCCCTCCCAACAAATCCCACCAGCCTTCTGCGCGCAGGTGGTGTAGAGAGCTCTAGTTCTTCGAGCCCCCCTTTCCCAGGAACCAGCACCCCCTCCCCCACTCGACCCGCCGCCGACCCGAAACTATGCCGACCCCCTCATCATCCCTGCCCAGAAGCAATACAGAGCACACTTTGCAGCAAAAGTTGGGACGATACGCAGGGTCCCAGCGATCACTTTGTACTGATTGTTGACAGGGACGGGTGGAGGTCCTATTTGGTTATGCGTAGAACCGCACTCCGCTGGACCTCCCAGGAGCCCAGAAGAGTGGCGACTGTTGCGCATTTGTTAGTACCCAGGGAAGGCGAGGTCCCCCTGGGCTCTGCACAGGCTCGCATCCCGCTGAACCCCCGACAAGCTCACAGAGGCGATAGTTTCACAGTTGGCAGCACCCACGGAGGCCTCGTTTGGGTCTGCGCAGGAACGCACTCTGCTGGGCACCCCAAGGACCTGACGACATTGGCGACAACTTCGCAATTGGCAGAACCTGGAAAGGCGAAGTCCCGTTTGGGTGCGCGTAGAACCGCTGGACCTCCCACGTGCTCGCGAAGATGGCGGCACTTGCGCAGTTGGCAGCATCCGGGGAGGCGAGGCTCTGCGTGGCGGCATGCACTGCGCTCCGCTGGACCTCCCGGGTGCTCACCAAAAGTGGCGACAACTGAGCAATTTGTAGCACCCAGGGAAGGTGAGGTCCCACTTCCGTCTGCGTTACTCCAGCACCCCACGGACCCCCCACGAGGTCACGAGGCTCGGGGGACAGCCGCGCAGCTAGCAACACCTGTGCCCCCAGGGTCGGGGAGGGCTGCCGAGGACACCCTCTGCGAGCCTGCTCGGACCCGACGAGACGGACAAAAAAATTATCCTGGCGAAGGACCCAACCATATGCAAACGTGAATACCGCAGGGCAGGTGGGACGAAGCAAAAGGAATTCCCAATGCGGCCACGAACCGTGTGAGGGGTGCGCCACACTGGGGCGGGGCCGCCATGCGAACCCTGCCACTGACGCCTTCGGTGGAGCTCCCTATGTCCCTGCGGGGCCACGAACCGTGTCAGGGGTGCGCCAATATGGGGCGGGGCCGCCATGCGAACCCTGCCACTGGGGCCTTCGGTGGAGCTCCCTATGGGGGCACGAACCGTGTGAGGGGTGCGCGAAAATGAGGCGGGGCCGCCATGCGAACGCAGCCACTGGGGCCCTCGGTTGAACCCCCTATGGGGCCACGAACCGTGTGAGGGGTGCGCCAGAATGGGGCGGGGCCGCCATGCGAACGCAGCCACTGGGGCCTTCGGTGGAGCTCCCTATGGGGCCACGAACCGTGTGAGGGGTGCGCCAGAATGGGGCGGGGCCGCCATGCGAACGCAGCCACTGGGGCCTTCGGTGGAGCTCCCTATGGGGCCACGAAACGTGTGAGGGGTGTGCCGAAATGGGTGGTGGGGAGGCATGCGAACGCAGCCACTGGGGCCTTCGGTGGAGCTCCCTATGGGGCCACGAAACGTGTGAGGGGTGTGCCGAGAATGGGGGGGGCGCATGCGAACGCAGCCACTGGGGCCTTCGGTGGAGCTCCCTATGGGGCCACGAACCGTGTGAGGGGTGCGCCAAAATGGGGCGGGGCCGCCATGCGAACGCAGCCACTGGGGCCTTCGGTGGAGCTCCCTATGGGGCCACGCCGTGTGAGGGTGGCCGAAATGGGCGGGGCCGCATGCGAACGCAGCCACTGGGGCCTTCGGTGGAGCTCCCTATGGGGCCACGAACCGTGTGAGGGGTGCGCCAGAATGGGGCGGGGCCGCCATGCGAACGCAGCCACTGGGGCCTTCGGTGGAGCTCCCTATGGGGCCACGAACCGTGTGAGGGGTGCGCCAGAATGGGGCGGGGCCGCCATGCGAACGCAGCCACTGGGGCCTTCGGTGGAGCTCCCTATGGGGCCACGAACCGTGTGATGGGCGTGCCGAAATAGAGGCATGCGGAGGGTGATGGTGTGGTGATGGGAGGGGGAGGAGGGGGGGAGGAGGAAGGAGGAAGGAAGGAACGCGGGGCACCGTCTCTTCAAAACGAGGACCCAACACCACAGGATGGTTGGGAAATACCCTGCGACGTACCCAACCCATGCGCATCAAGTGGCAAGAGGAGTAGGCCAACATTAGCAGGAACAACGACAGTGTAGACGCGGTGACTTGCCGAGCAAACTACATGGGATGCGCATGCGTTGCACGACCCACAGGACGACGATCGAAAGAGCGAGGATTGAGGCCCCAGGCTCGAAGAATAACGGAGACAGGAACGAGGGGCAAGAGAAGGATGGAATGGGGGTAAAGTCAATCTGCGTATGACGTCACTCCGCTGGGCCCCCCAGCAGCCCTCGAAAGTGGCGACGGTTTCGCAGATCGCAGCCCCCCAGGGCGTCATCAGCTTAGGGTCTGAGGGGCCTGAGGCCTATGGCCTTCAATTCGCATGGACGTAGAGCCATCGGGCCCTAGGTCTCAGGGCATCAGGGTATGAGGCATTTTGGCCTTAGGGTCTGAGGGTGGTAGTGTCCTAGGGCCCCAGGACCATAGAATCGTAGGGTCTGAGGGCATTGTATTGTTTTGCTCTAAGGCACATAGATCCAAGGTTCTAAGCGTCTTCGGGTGTTAAGGCCATGCGCGGCCTAAGGCCTGAGGGACCCAATGTATCCGGCGGCCCCCTTGCGGGGCCATCAGGCTGCGAGGGCTAAGCTTGCTGCTCCCTGTACCAGTTCCAGCTTCCAGTTTCCATTGTTACAATACTGTTTTCTGCTTCCCACTGTAAATTGTTACTGTCCGCGCGAGGGGGGAAAGCCGAAAAGTCGCAAATTTAACGTCCCCCGGGAGGGTTCACAGAATTCCTGGCGGAGAAAAAATTGACACCCTTCACGCAGATCGGCGGGGTCAGGGTCCAAGAACACCAGGGATGCGCCGCATTCCTAAAATTCGGTGGCGCCTCTTACGCAAATCGGCGGGGTCAGGGTCCAAAAACACTCGGGATGTCCCACATTTCTAAAATTTCCGGCCACCCCTCACGCAAATCGGCGGGGTCAGGGTAAAACTTTCGGAATTGATTACATTTCCGAAATTTCCTGACACCCCCCACGCAGATCGGCAGGGTCAGGGTCCAAAAACACAAGGGATGTGCCACATTACTCTAATTTCTGGGCACCCCTGACACAAATCGGCAGGGTCAGGGTCGAAAAACGCAAAGAATTTCCCACATTTCTGAAATTTCGGGGCACTCCTCACGCAGATTGGCGGTGTCTGGGTCCAAAAGCACTGGGGATCTGCCACATTAAAAAAAAAAATCGGCGGCACCCCTCACGCAAATCCGTCGCCCGAATCGAGCCGGAGCGCTCCCCGAGCGGCCCGACGAGCATCCCGTGCGAGCTGGCACGATCGAGCCGCCCGAAATTGGGCCGAGGACGTACCGGAGCCCAAAACCAAACTAAAGAATAAAGAAAATGTATATTGAGAGACGTTTTTGTAGAGCCAGTGACATTTTGCCGGGTCGGCCAGTATCTGCCAAATTTGCCCAACTCGAGCGCGGCGTCGGCAGGCCCGAAATCCAAGCACAGGCGCTCCCGCGCGCTCCCAGGCGCGCCCAAGCGCTCCGTGCGAGCCGGAGCGCCCCCGGAGCGGCCCGACAAGCACTCCGCGCGAGCTGGCACGAGCGGGCCGCCCGAAATCGGGCCGGGGACGTACCCGAACCCAAACGCAGATTAAATAATAAAGAACATGTGTATTGGGAGCCGTTTTTGTGGAGCCACTGACATTTTGCCGGGTCGGCTAGAATCTGCCTGATTTGCCAGACTCGAGAGCGAGCGCGGCGTCGGCTAGAATCTGCCTGATTTCCCAGATTTCGGGCCTGCCGACGGTCGGCAGGCCCCAAATCCAAGCCCAGGCGCTCCCAGGCGGTCCCAGGCGCGCCCAAAGCGCTCCGTGCGAGCCGGAGCGCCCCCGGAGCGGCCCGACGAGCACTCCGAGCGAGCTGGCACGAGCGGGCCGCTCGAAATTGGGCTGGGACGTACCGGAGCCCAAACCCAGATCAAATAGTAAAGAAAATGTGTATGGGGAGCCGTTTTTGTGGAGCCACTGACATTTTGCTGGGTCGGCCAGAATCTGCCAGATTTGCACATATCGAGCGCGGCGTCGGCAGGCCCGAAATCCAAGCCCAGGCGCTCCCAGGCGCGCCCAAGAGCTTCCAAGCGCTCGGCCTGCGAGCCGGAGCGCCCCTGGAGCGGCCCGACGAGCATTCCGTGGGGGCCTGCACGAGCGGGGGCGCTTCCGGAGCGGCCCGACAAGCATTCCGCGCGAGCTGGCGCGAGCGGGAGCGCTTCCGCAGCGGCCCGACAAGGCGCTCCAAGGATTTGCTACATTTCTCAAATTTCCTGGCACCCCTCACGCAGATCGGCGGGGTCAGGGTCCAAAAACACATGGGATTTGAAACATTCTTGAAATTCGGTGGCACCCCTCGCGCAGATCCGTCGGGTCAGGGTCCAAAAACAGAAGGGATTTGCCACATGTCTGAAATTCGGCGGCACCCCTCACGCAGATCGGCAGGGTCAGGGTCGAAAAACAAATAGGTCCCGACACTGCTTCACGGCAAAGCCAAAGAATCATGACTTCGCTCTTCCATGGCCCATTCTCCGAGAGAGGGGGCCGGCGGCAGGGGGCGAAGCCCTTACGGATAATGGTCCTAGGGCGTTCGGGTCTCAGTGTCCTAGGGTCTCAGTGCCCTGGAGCCTGGGGGGGGGCGGGCATTCAGGTGTTATTGAATTGTGCGCCTCGGGTACCTTAAAGTCGTAGGGTTTCAAGGTATTGCCGGCCCTCGGGTCTAGGGGCCTCATGGTCATGAGGCAGTAGTGGCCTAGGGTATATTGTGGTATCAGGGTCCTGGGGTCCTATGGCCTCTGGGCGTTGGCGTCTGAGTGTCTTATGACCTTATCCCTTGTGTTTCTCGCAGTCTTAGGGTCTCAGGGTCCTAGGGACTCATTGCATTGGCGCCTTAGAGTCGTAGGGCCCTAATGCACCATTGTATGATCGCACGGCCTGAGGGTGTTTCTCGAGCTCGGCTCGGCCGTCGCCTTATGCAAAACCGTTCGGTATATGATGTTATGTGAATGTGTCCACGGTCGATGGGAAAATCCAATATCCAGAAGATTCCCAATCGGATGTCAATGGGAATTGAGCAGAGCCCAGATCTAGATGATCTCAAGTTGACTCCAATAGAAGTCACATCGGGATAGTGCAAACCAGATGCAAAGGCATCCAGATTTGATTTCAAGAGTATGACAATTGGTTTCATTGCGGTTGTAGCAGGCCCCAAACCCACAGGAGTCAATTGATTGTTAATGAATAAAAAAATGTTCCAGGGGGCGGAGATACAACCTCCACCGCTGGGCCCCCCAGCAGCCCTCGAAAGTGGTGACAGCTTCGCAGATCGCAGCCCCCCAGGGATGGCGAGGTCTAATCTGAATCTGCGTATGACCCCACTCCGCTGGGCCCCCCAGCAGCCCTCGAAAGTGGCGACAGTTTCGCAGATCGCAGCCCCCCAGGGATGGTGAGGTAGGAGACAAACTGGCACGCAGGAGCGAGCGAGGTAGGAAGCAGGGGGGAAGAGGAAAGGAGGAGGGGGCGGGAGAGGAGAGGAGAGGAGTCGCGACCGCAGCTGCTCTATTCAAAACGAGAACCCAACGCAGGAGGGTTGGGGAAAAACAAAAAACCTCTCGAGACGTGACCTGGACCCGCCCTGGGGCTTGCTGGGGAACGTCAGGAGGGGGGGCCGCTTAGGAAGGTCGGCGATACATCGCCGATAGATCGGCGACAGGCCCCCGTTAGCGAGTCCGCGCGTTCCTGGGCGGGGTGCGCCATCGGGCCCCTCTCGGCGATGAATGGGCGACCGGGGGTCGACGCACCTCTCCCCCCTTCAGCCTACTCCTCCCCCCGACGCTGCCCCTGAGCCCAAGGTGCCCCCAGCTTTCCGCGCCATTCTGGACCACCTGCGGCTATTTGGGCCTCACAAGAGGTGCTCTGGAGGCCATGTGGACCTCTGGGGAAAAACGCGCCACCGCCGGCAGTAACGGGGGGATCCCAATCCCCGACGTTGGTGCGACTTTCGACTGGGCAAAAATAAAGCCAAACTCGGGGATATACGATGGGGAAGGCCGTCCATCCTCGATTGGGGTGCGTCCGAGCAGTCCCTCAAGGGTGTGTCCCCCAGCCCCACCTGTCGATGCACCTCTCCCCTCTGAGCCTACTCCTCCCCCTGACGCTGCCCCTGACGTCCTGGCCCGCCCTCCCGGCCGCCGCGCCGAGCCGAGGCGACGCGGGTCTCCAGAGGACGCCCCACATAGAAGAAGAAACAAATCCAAAGTATGAACTTTTGGCGCTCCGCGCGGACTTCTCGGATCTGGCATCCCCCTCCCTGGCGCGCGGAGCGGGCCAGGGGCGGCGCCGGAGGCGCCGCTTGGGGGCTCCCAGCGCGGATCCAAGGAATCCCCGCGGAGCGCCAACAGTTTCTGTTTATGGATTCTTCCTTCCTTCTACAGAAGACGCCCGACCGACCCCCGACAGGCCCCAGCCTTCCGCGCCCCGGCTCTCGAGCCACTCCGCCTCCGAGGAAGGCACAGACTTGGACGCCGTGGGCGCCCCTTCCCTTAAGTCGGGCCTGTACTCCTACAGGGGGATTTTGGGCAAAAAATTAAAAATAGTCAAAAAATACCCCTAAATAGTCAAACAAATACTCAAAAACTCATCCCCATACTATTTCTTTACTATTTTTGGATATTCTTCCTGGAAAGGGACGTGCCCGACTTAACCCTTCCCGGGCCGGCCATCCGAGCACACGGGGTCGAAGGCTCGCGCCGCATCACCACAATGCATCGCCGATGCATCGTCGACGCATCGGCGCCGATGGCGATGCATCGGCGCCGTCGGCGTGGAGAGAACCGGGCTCCAGATCGAGCCGCATCGCCGACGCATCGGCGATGCGGCACGATCCTCCGACCCCATCCGCCCGGGCGTCCCAGCTGAACCACGGTCTCCGGAGTGCGAAGAAGGCGCTGCAGGACTTTCTGCGGCTCTGCACTGCCGATCCTGGCCCCAGGGTCGGCCCAGCCCAGGAAGGTGGGGCCAGCTGTACAGGTCGGCGCCCTCCGAGCCTCCCGCCGCAGGGCCTCGCCGTGGTCCAGCCAGACGTCCTGCTGCCCCGGCCCGCCATCGAGGTACCCGCGCTCCGCGCCCATGCTCCGGGCCCCCTCTGCCGCCGTCATGGAGAGGCGGGCGGCGCGGAGGCAGGAGGTCGGAGGTTGCCGGAGGTGATCCTGGCTAAGACGGCGGCAAAACAAGGGCAAGTTCGTACGAAGACAGGTGGGGAGCCATTGAGAGCTTGCGGGTCTGGAGGCGCACCGCGCGCCACGGTCGTTCTGGGAGCGAGCTCCGGAGCGCTCTCTGAAAGCCTTCTGGGACGTTCTGGGCCGACTTGGCCTCGTGCGACCAACGGCCTCACCGCCCGGACTGGGCGACCTGACGGGGCGCGCCTGACTGGCACGTGAGTGGCGACCAACGGCCTCACCGCCCTCGTTGTCGTGGTCGTCGCCAGAGCCTTCATCATCATGATCCGTGCGCTGTAGCCGTCGTCAGCTGCGCTGGCGCACCCATGCTGGTTCTGAGGCATCCCCTGAGCCGGGTGGCCGAACGGGACGCCAGTGCAGCATGCATGCGCCCCCTCGCCCCTGGGGCCAGCGATTGGGGGAGAACAAGCTCGGGTAGAGAAATATCGAGCTCGCGAGGCTGGAGGGGCAACCGCGCATCTGGCAGAACTTGGGGAGGCAGCGTTCCGTGCGGCGGTATGCGAAGGACTGCACTCCGCTGGAGCTCCCAGGCGCACCCAGGGAAAGCGAGGCCCCGGTTCGGTCTGGGTTACGCCCACGTCACACCCCGCGGACCCCCGACGAGGTCACGAGGCTCGGGGGACAACCGCTCAAAGGGGCAACACCTGTGGCCCCAAGATCTGGGAGGGCTGCCGAGGACACCCTCTGCGAGCCTGCTCGGACCCGACGAGAAGGACCAACAAAAACCTCTCGAGACGTATCCCTGGACCCGCCCTGGGGCTTGCTGGGGAACGTCAGGGGGGATCGGCTCGGGGGGGGGGACATCAACCTGGAATCGGCGATACATCGCCGATAGATCGGCGACAGGCCCCCGTTAGCGAGTCCGCGCGTTCCTGGGCGGGGTGCGCCATCGGGCCCCTCTCGGCGATGAATGGGCGACCGGGGGTCGATGCACCTCTCCCCTCTGAGCCTACCCCTCTCCCTAATGCTGCAAACGGAGGTTAACGACTAGGGGGGTGGAAGTCAAATGGACAAGTGAAGTTTTTGAGACCTTGCCGCCATCGATCCCGAACAACGCTTTCAATGGTTCGAGAAGGAGGCGGAGAAGGAGAAGGATGGAGGAGGAGAGGAGCAGGGAGAGGGAGGAGGAGGAGGAGGAGGAGGAGGAGGAGGAGGAGGAGGAGGAGGAGGAGGAGGAGGGAGGAGAAATAGGGAAGAGGAAATCGATGGGAAATGCACGAAACGGATGAAGGTTCAGGGGAGGAGGATGCCGAAGTACGGTCGGTTGCATCAGAACGACGCAGTGGACATACATCTGTTCTGTGCACTCTGTCCTAAATAGGCTTCTGGGGATACGGTACGCGACGCGGCACGAATTTGGCAGCATGGCGTTCTATGAAGGAGTGTCGCCTGCGTCTCTACAAAACGCTTGCACGTGGATATGTTACGTGTATTCGTTTTGGGATGGGTTTCTGGGGATGTGCGCGACGCGTCACGGCTTTCGTCGATTGATCTCGTCTCTGTGAGGGTCGGCGGCATTGCGTAAGGCCATTGACTACAGACTTCCCCGACTGATGCCGCCCCGCGGCTCCAGGCGGCCTTCGCGCTCCCTCGGGAGTGGAGGGAGGGACAGATAGAGTTGTGGATGCCACGACAATGGACACCCTAACGGTCCTGTCCTCGAATTTACCATGTGCTTAAAATGCGGAAGCAATGTCCTAAACATGTTTTAAACGTGTGTTGATGTTTAAAACATGGTTACTACATGCTCTAGGCCTGTGGAAACTATTTGGCAACATGTTTCCTCTCCACTGCTCGTCCTCCACAAGGTAGTGATAGAGGGAAGATACGGACAGAGGGAAGGAGCTGCAGAGACAGAGAGCCCAGTCTCGTTCCAGTTCCACCAGGGTGGGCAAAGAGCTCAAATGATTCAAAGAGCGGTCCAACCCGATGGCGCGCTACAGTGGCGGACGGTTGCACAACTGAGCACATTCACAAGACAAGCGCGTCGTCCGCGCATTCACACGCACGGGTGTCCTCCATCTTGTCATGGAGGCGAGCGGCGAAAGAAACTCAAAACCTGCGTGTTTGCGAATGACCTGTGATGGCATAGGGAGCTGATGGCTTAGAACGTTGATGGTAATGGAAATTCATGGTACATGATGCTGGTCTGCGATTCGCGGAGAAAGAACTAGAACGACTGTGCAGGCCACGCGCAAGCCCACACGCGAATAGCTCTGGACGTGCCCTAAAAACTAAGTTGGGCCGAAAGAAAACTGAAAGATGCTGCGCTTCTAAAACTGGTCCAATTCCTGCTGAAAGCTGTCGCTACCATCGCGGCGTCGATGGCGAAGCTCCACGCTGCAGCCCACCGATCTTCACACGGCCACGTCTTGCTCGCAGATGGGACCGGTGTCGTCGCACGGAGTTTGGAGGCAATGCAGCCGAGGTTCGCGAGCATGCAGATCACGCACGAAGCCCGGAGTCCAAGGGAGCGCTGCCCCTAAACTTTGGTTTCCAAGAGCCCCACCGTCAGCTGGGGTAGATTCGAGTCGTCGGCTTCCTTCTCGACAATCGGCATAAAGCACTTGCCGAACTCTGCCCACCTAAGCGAGAAAACCTCCTTGTGCACCACGCGGACGCAGTCGATGAATGGCACGCGGGCCCAGGCCACGGGCGCGGTTCCATCGGAATTGGCCGTCAAGTCCTCCACGCGCTGATGGCAGGCCTTCATTGATGCGTTCAGGTACGCGGGCTGCGTCAAGATATCTGGTATCTCCGCCTGGCGAATAACGGCAAACATGCCGAGCGCGAAGTTCTCGTCCCCGACGATGGCGGCCAAGCTGTCGGGAACGGGTTGAATGATCGCAACTGAAGGGCCATGAGGCGAGCCCCCAGCGGCGTCGGCCCCGCCACCGCCATCAACGTCGCCCTTCTCGATCATGAGCTGCTCCCTGTGAGCGCGAATGCTGTCGCCCCTGGGGACTTTCCGCACCTTCGACCCAGTCGGCGCACCCCTCTTCCCCGACGATCACGACGCCCTCGAAACAGAACACCGGGCCGCATGCGCAGAGTTATTGGGCCATTTCTTTGGCGAACCGCTCGAACGGCAAGTGTTTCTGCGGCTGGCGGATAGCGCTGGCCAGGTCGTCTAAGAACAACGCGCGCCTCGTGGGGCCATCGGCGAAAACCGCTCCGCCAAGGAACCCCTCATCTGGAACATGCAGGAATTCCTGTGTACATGTGTTGGCCTTCTTCTTGCTGCCAGGGTTGGGTCTGGCTGTCACAGCAACCCCCCGCTTCCCTTGCTTCCTCTGAGGAACACTTGCGACGTGCTCGTGGGCGCCCCGAGGGTTCCTGATTTCGTTCACGTCGCCCTCGCGCGCGAATGCCCATGCGCCGTCAGCAACCTCCACCGGGGCCGCCATCCTGAGGGCTTCCACCAAAGCTAAGCCCAAGACGTTGCGATCCACGGCGTCGGCGACCTCCACGAAGCGAAGGAACAGGGAGTTGCAGACTTTGGCCAAGAGCAGGTCGTTGATCCCCCTGCGGGGGAACTCGCACCGATGCCCCATGTCCTCCGTCCACGGAGCGCACAACTTGCACGCTTGCATCTTGTGGACGAAACTCTTGCAGTTGTCGCAGTGGCCCCAGCTCTTGAACTGGTCGCGCGAGCTGAGCACGCAGCGCTCGCCCTCACACCTCAGCCCTCAATAACTGGCAGAAGCCGTCGCAGCCTTCTCGCAAGCGGACCACGCCTTCCCAGCCTCGCCCACGAGGTCGAACCGCCCCACGAAAATTGCCTCGGACCCGCTGAAAAATGCTGTGCAAATTCTTCGCGCGGCGCCGGGCGTCCTCGGGGAAGTCGCGACGAAGCACCGTGACGTCGGACATGCCATCTCTGATGATGTCCTGCACCAAAATGTTGGACGAGTCGGCGCCTGCTGCAGCCTGGCAATATTATTGCAACCAAACATATATATGCATTAGGAAGCCGACCATAGTTAAAAACATGACAAGCAAGATGCAGGGGTACGTATATTGAGTGTGCGAGTTTTGAACAATACTGCACTCAGGATTCAGTCATGGGGGACATGCAAGAGCCAAGTATGAAGTACCTCAGGATTTCAGGATCCACTCCTGACGGATCCCATGATTTCAGGATCCACTCCTGGAGGGCCCCAGGATTTACAGATCCACTCCTGAAGGATCCCAGGATGTCAAGAAGATGGCTGGGTGCACTCCTGAATGACATGATAACGCCAGAATTCAATCCTGAAAAATCCAAGGATTGCAGGACCCACTCCTGGATGGCCCCGGGATTGCAGGAGCCACCGCTGAAGGGCACGAAGAGTTCAGGAGCCACTCCTGAAGGACATGAGGATTTCAGGAGTCACTCCTGAAGTACCTCAGAAGTCCAGGCCCCACTCCAATACAAAAATCCAAAATTGTAGGACCCACTCCTAAAGGACCCCTGGATTTCTGGATCCACCCTGACTACGAAAACAAAAAAAACATTCTATATCACAACAAGGAGCAGCCTTGCATGCCTTGCACTAGGTCGCTCCTGCAAGCATCATGCAATGACCGTCCGCACAACTCGCGCCCGCCTCCATTGCGATAGATTACCCGCGCAACTCGAAGAACAAGCCCTTCTCGATGTTTGGCGCGTCCCTTCACATTCGCGCACTGCTTCCTCGGTCTCGGGGCGCCTCTTTCGCAAGAGATTGCACTCGCCGTCCACGCCCCCCGCCATGGCCAGGACCTGGAGGGTAGCATGGCGCTCGGTGCAGCATGCGAGCAGCGGTTCCCTCAACAGCTCGGAGCCCTGGAGGCCCTCGAAGGCCGTCTCGCAGGTCGCGCTGATCCCGAAGACCTTGTCCCACTGCGCAAGGGGCGATGGTAGCTGGAGCGGGTGTCACTGGCAGGTATACCCTCGAAAAGGCGACGAGCTCGAATCACTGAGGTGGTGGCAAGCACGACTGTCCGAGCGCAAAGGGCTACAGTGAACCCAGACGCCCGACTTATGGCGAGGGACCTTGAGTCTAACGGAGGGCCTGAGACGTTGTCTGGTTGCCTTGGTATACAATTTGCGCCGGGGAGATCTCGGAGGAGTGTCGCCCCACATTTTGTCATTTTACATAGGGGTGGAGGCTGGGCGCGGCGTTCCACTTCACGGCTATACCTGGCCACCTCCTGCAGCGAAGGGCAGAAACACTTCCTTCTCCCATCGATGGGGGCTTAGCACTTCCAGGATTCCACGGCAGAGCTCGGGCTCGGGGTCGAGGCCGTTCAGGTCAAGGGTCCAACTCAGCCGCGCGAAGGCTGCACAGGCCACGC